GGGGATGGGGTGGGGTGGGGTGGGGGTGTCACTTTTGTGCATAAATTTGTGTCTGTGTGTGTCATTCACACAGTAGATGCTTCTCCATAATAATCACCCCCACCCACCCCCCTCTTAGTTCTTTAATTGGGTCGTTATGGGTTAAATAAACAACAACAAAAACAAACCCTCATCAAATGCTGTGTTATTTGATCTAATCCCTTATGATGACTTCATGCGGCTGAAGTTGATTACAAGAAATAACGCATAATACAAATGATATTTATGTATCATTCAACAACACAATATAAGTAGATAAGTGTGGTGCTTGCCACGAAACAGTTCATCCCCCCAAAATAATACCTTCTTAAAAAAGCTATGAAAAAAGATCCCTGTTTATTTCACTGTGAAAAGTTTTAAACAGGAAAACATATTGATAACATTTTGTCAGGATTATTGTATTTCTATTTCATATGACTGTTCATCCAATATGTGTCTACTGTGTAGCTTGTTGGGGCGAAAACTTTATGGACATATTATTATATATACATGGATCAAATGGATTGACAAGAAAAATTATTGTAGTACTTCACTGAGCAGCTTTTATAAAAGATGTCATCTTTACTCATTATGATGTTGGATTCCCTCAATTTAGCTATTACTAATTAGCTTTTAAAGATTATTATACCTGACAAAATTAATACATCTTTTTCCAGAAAGCCATAAAAGCACTAGCTTCTTGTCCTATTGTACATAGTGTACCAAATGTGTGAGTAGTGTTTGGTGTGTTTGTTGTTTAACACCACACTCAGCAATATTCCAGCTATGTGGCAGAAAATAATGTACTAGAGTAGTCATAAAGCCTCACCCTGTAAGCCTGTTAGTAAGCTGACGAACACTTTGTTTCATTCCTAATAAACGATGCCTGTTAACATACATGTACCATTTTTCAATATAAAAATTCTTTAAGGGGGCAGAGTCTTTTAGTAGCACTATCCTCTTAAAAACATCAAGATCAAGATTAGAAGTAATATTAGAAGTATCAGGGTAATTAGGTACCATGTATTAAACTAAACAGCAAAATCTTGTTAATCCGAGAAAGCCATGTTATGCTGGACTTTCCCTGTGAAGAATGTGGTCAGTAGATATAGGGGGTGTATTTTGCTGGTCAGAATGTTCCGAGTAGCGGGAAAGTATAACCCTCTGCATTCATGGTGAAGTGTAGGAGTTGCAGGTGCTGTCCACACCCAATGATACCCCAGTTACTGTAGAAAAGCAGTTGTAGTGTCAGCTGAGGTCGTATGGAAGGCTATCTCAATAGTTCATATAGTGAGTGAGTGAGTCAAAATGTAACATCACATCGGCAATACAATAGTTCATATAATGGCAAATAGGAATAACTGTCGGCAAGAGGAATAGAAAATGTATATTATACAAATTCGGTTGCCTGATAAGTTTGTACAGCAGTGAAAGCCAAGACCATTAAGTTTATTAATGGTTGTTATCATAACCTTATAATTCTGGGATAATGTCTTTTGACACTGATCTGATGACCATTTGAACCTTGTTTCACCCCCTTTCAATTCAGGCTACACTCAGAGGCAAGCCTTACATGATATGAAATATGTAATGGTAGACAACCTAAAAATATAACCCCAATCGCTCTGTTGAACACAAGAACCACATGTGACTGTGTAAAGTATGGCACAAAATATGACAGTGTGCTGTGAGGTGAGTGAGGGAGTATGTTTTTACGCCGCTTTTAGCAATATTCCAGCAATATCATGGCGAGGGACACCAGAAATGGTCTTCACACATAGTACCCATGTGGGGAATCGAACCCGGGTCTTCAGAATGACAAGCTAGGCAACCCCACCGCCCTGGGTGAGGTAAGGTGTAAGTTTACTATAAATAAATCTGAAATGTTCTATAATAAATCTGTCAATTTTGTGTAAGATATATACAACTTACTCTCTTTTCCTATGAGTGGGTGAGTGAGTGAGTTTATTATTATGCCACACTCAGCAATATTCCAGTTTCTTTTCGTATGACAGGCAGGGGGGATCGAACACTTGTGCACTCCTGGTATAGACTTTATGAATCTTTTTCTTTTTGTACCTTATAGTTTTGATGACTAGTACTGCTCAGTTATGGGTCACTTGTTTTAATCACTATTGTATATAGCTGACAACCACCACTAAAATCACTGAATGCCCCTAAGTTCCGATAAGATATTTTGAACTGTAGTACCAGAAACAATAAAACAATGTCAGCACAAAAGACGAAACTCATTTAACATTTTATTACAAACTGTTCTATACAGAGGGAATGCAGGAATATAGAGAGTATAAAACTGATGGGGAAAATATTTAGTTAGGTAAAAACACCAATAAAAACTATGAAAGCAACAAATATTCATGCTTTGTAGCACCATCAAGAATAAATATATGTAACATAGCTTATGAAATATATTATATTAAGGGTCTGTGGCTCACCTTCACGACTCTGGTTAGTACAGATACACAGGTTATGATTTATGCAACACACAAATTGTTCGTGCCAGTGTTGTTTTATTAACAGAGTCAGCAAATATCCATTCATCGCTTTAAAAAGTCATCAAAGCCAGACACTTAACTTTTTGCAATAGTTTTAAAATATACAAAATGCAACAACGACTTTACCCAAAGTCTCAGATCTTAGCTATATAAGGCTTCTGGAAATATATTTTCAATTAACATAACTTTTTATATTTTGAGCCTAAAAAACAGTAATGGTGAAACTGAAACCCAGTTCAACATACAGTATATTTCCATGAAATCTTATAACAATTAACAATTATCTGGATTAATGAATCACAGTACATATAAACATCTCAATCATAAATAGGTATTTCTGACTACAGACCTCTGGAAAGTGAACTTTCCAGACCAATTAACAGGATTCAGAGTAATGAGGATTTACACAACATGAAACAGGTAAAAAATATTTGCAACACAAACACCTGAGTAGTTCAGTAAATTATCCATGGTGCTAGGCATCAGATGATCCTTCCAGATGTGCCAAACAGTATACTCCCTGTATTGTAAGTTCTGCGTGACAATAATAAGCCTGCCAGCCCCTGACAACCTAAGCGCCAAGACTACCATAAGTCTATGTTAAGGTTACGGTCACCTTAGCACTAAAATCGCTTTGTGAGTGAGTGAGTGAGTTATTATTTAACGTCACAAGGTCGCTTTGTACAACTGCACCTTGGTCATCATATCTTGTAACAACACAAGATGATCAAACTGTGCATCACGCTTACTGCAAACATTTCAACTTTCTTAGCTAAATAAGGCAGCCTTGCCGTGTCAAAGTAACTTGTCTGATGCCTGAATAGAACATTCATTTAAGAGCTTGTAAGCATAATAAAACAGTCATTTTTTTTAAGGATCAAACCTCAGTCATCATGCATGCATTCATAATATGTTGATTGACATTTATGTCTTGACGGGAAAGGGGAAGCATCACTCACAAGGGAGTATTAAGTGGATACAGTTATCCACATTACGAAACATACAGGAGTAACCTCTGTGGGAAGAGAATGCATGGGGATTAACACGTAAGGATTTCTTCCCTGGAACACCCTGGGGAAGATATACTGGGGGCTACTGTGAAACATCACCGGCAGCATGGGCAGGTTAACACAGGCTATTCTAAAACATCACAGGTAACATTGGGAGGATCACCGGCAACACTGTCAGGTAAACAACACATCAATTGTTTGATTTGCATGCCAGAAGTTGGTGAGTCAATAATGAAGATATTACTTTATGGAAAACAACTTTCATAATTGCATAGAGCAACAGTTCAGTGTAGAGTCTTACATGGTTGTCAAGTGACTACAACCACATGATGAGAGGTATATACATGGCATGTTGTGGCAGGAAGAAAATTAACATTAACAACATCATGTAACTGATAGGCAGCACATAACTGGATGAGGCCAGGTGGGGAGTAAGAACAAAAAAACCCCAAAACCCAGCACAAATAATGAAGCCAATGGACAGGAAGGACTAAAGTTTATAGTTGCTTGTTTTCAAACATTGATAAAGTTATGTGATTAACTTTTTCGTATGCTCATGGTATTCATTTAATGTTTGTGTTGGTGAACTTCGTTCTTCCTTTTGTGAAATCCTGATTTTTGGAGGGTAGGATTTCAATTTTGTCTCACTTTGACAGCTCGAGAACTTTTCTTGGTGGTCTGAGACAGCCGATTTGCTGTCTGCCTTGGTTGTTGTGCTCTTGAGTACAGGTATCTAGGGGACGGGAGGTTTCACCAATATAAGAGTCACCATATTCACAGTTTATCTTCTTTATCTCTCCTTAGAGGGGTTATTTTATGGAGGGTAGGTTGGGTTACGGCCATTGGCTCAGAGGATGGTTTTGAGGGGTTGGGAGCCCGTGAAAATGGTGTTGATGCCTGCTTGGTACTAATGTGGTCTGCTGATCAGTCTAAGTAAACTTAGGCTCAGTATTATTCATTATACTGCCATACTGAGTCTAACAAAACCTTGTGGGAGGTCGCATCAGTTAACCTTTTCAATTGACCAATCAGAACACAGCTTACCAAATTGCGAAAGCTGACATTCGCACATACATTTTGAACTTTTACCTCGAAAAAGTTTTGTACCTGAATGATTCTGAATGCTATTTTCCGTACGATCGCTTCCGAGTGATGCACATGGAGCACGCCACAACCGTGAGTAAACAGTTGCTGAAAATAGCATTTTGTCAGTATTCAAGGATGTCAGCTTGCGGAAATATTAGCTACTGATAACCATGTCAACAGAAACCCCAAAGCGTATATTCTGCAGGTCATATATCTGTGTTTTATGTGGGTTTTCGTTTGTTGTGAGATCAGTGTTGTCGACCGGGGAAGAGTAAATCCATATTGTAAGTCCCGCCGAACCCTAAATAGTAGCCATTGTTTGATTGGTTAAATCCGTTCCGTCGTCCTGAGTTTGATTGGACGGTCATAGGTCGCTCAAAGGTTACCTGACAAGGTCTTGTTACACTCAGTATAGCAGTGTAACAAATAATACTGAGCCTATGTTACTTACTGGTCTGCTGATTTGATGAGAAGTTTTGCCAATGTACGGTAGAGGTTTTTTGATGGGGCTAGATTTGGTTTGTATTTCGACTTGAGTGGTTAAAATGGTTCTCATCAATAGCTTGGTAGGATACTGGTACAGATTGGTGAACATATGCTATAGATGACTTGCTCATGTTCAGGGTCAGGGTTGAGATGAAGCAAGACTTAGTTTCAGGGAGTGGGTTAGAATTGAAACTAATATACTGAATGGATGGGTTCGAATCATTTTTGCTGAGGTCTCCGGATATATGAACATCTATGAAGGGAAGTTTGTTATTGTTCTCTGTCTCTATGGTAAACTTGATACATGGATGTTGGGCATTGAGGTGATGGTGTAGGGGGTCAGGTCACTTTAGCTTGACAATGGTGTATGAATCTACACCAAAACATATCTCTGTGCAATAAACAAGAAGATGATATCCATAAAGTCCTATCTTTGGTATTAACACATGTCATATGACAACTTAATATTTTACTATGACGTTTTCCATTTGGGATTAAACATCCTAGTACAAGTGACGTCAAAGCCGTGTTTCTCTATCACCCAGAATCATCCCCTTGCTAACTGCATCCTCATAACTTGGTGGTAATGGCATGGGAGGGGCTGATGGCTCCAGATCAGTCCCTGTTGAAGGTCTAATATACACTTCCTGGTATGTTGGTGGCAGGTTGTTGTTCCTGGCCCTGCTGTTATTTGTATTCCGAGTATTACTGGAGGTATTGTCAGTGTGGGTTACATCATTGTTTGGAAGGAAAGGTCGAGCCAAGTCTCTGGGTGGTGGTCTTGGAAACTGATGTTGAGGCACCCGCTGGGCCATTTGGTTCGCCTGTCTCTTCTTCAATGCATAACAGACGACTAAGAATATTATGACTCCTAAGAATCCCAGCACTCCGACAAAAATTGGTACAGGATCTGACTTTTCTGAAAATAAAGACTTCATCATATGAAAAACTAAACATTTGGGATGATGCTGTGCTCTTTGTGAAGATCTAAAGAGGTACCAGTCTACAAAGGTCATTGGTACAAATCATTCAGCACATACTATTTGCTAACTTTTTGAAGTTGTACAGCAGTTTATGTCTATGCATGAGGGGCAATAAATAGAGATTTTACACGAGCAAGTGTGTCATATGACACATACAAGCAATACATAATTTTGCATGAGTTTCGTCATATGACACACTTGCTCATGTGTAATAATTTTGTTTATTATCTATTTTATTCATGTACATTTGTGCAGTGAAACTCGGAAAGCAAGTGTGACGACCCTCTTCATTGACGTCACATTCTATTGTTTAATGACATCACCGACAAAGAAATACATAAACAATGGTTGCAAGGAAAAAGTGGCATGTGCACATTATAAGTTGTTCACTGGCCACGAGGGGGAATGGGCTGATGTACCCTCGATGTTTGTTTATGTTCCCTGAGCCCAAAGGGTGAGGGGAACACGTATTCATGTGGCCACCATCTGGTCATACACCAATGGATTTTCTTGGGTTCTTTTAAGTGCACAGGGTTGTGTACTGTACACTAGGGGTTGTCACAACACTGAGAGAGTCTGCACGCAAAGTTGACTCCAAAGTTTGTACACCCGGTCACAGGTGGGCTCGATCCCGTCACCTCAAGCTCGCTGGATCACTAGCCTGGCGCCTTAGCCAGCTCGCCCACCACGCCCCCTTCATTACCATGAAGGATTGAGAACGCCTTATGTTCATGTGTCACCATCACAGTAATACACTCTCCTGCTCCATGTTAAGGGGCAAGCGCAAGGGCAAGGTAAATCAGTGGCTGACTATCAACTTCACCTGTGAAGATCGGGTTTAGAATCGGTCTTCAGCATGCTTGTCGTAAGGGGGCAAGGCAATCGGGTAGTCTGACTTGGTTGACACATCATCGTACCCCAACTGCGTAGATCACTGCTCATCCTGTTAATCACTGGATTGTCTGGTCCATACTCGATTATATACAGACCAGTGACATACAGCTGGAATATTGCTGAGTGTGGGGTTAAACAACAAACAAACCATAATCACGGGTACAAATCCAGGCTTGCCCAAATAATGTTTACACTTGTCAGAGGGGTACTCAGTGTATGTCATCTACACTGTCAGTTGTTAGACTTCCATTTTTGTGGAAGCCATGGTGACTGTCCTAGAATCTGTACTTTACTGAGAACGTTTAATCCTAAATGTAACATATGTTCAATCTGTGATTGTGTCTTTCAACAAAAATACATATTGATTACCCATATGGTGAAACATAACCAGGGTCATATATGAGCACATATCGCTTTTGCATAGCAACCATTGTTTCTGTATTTCGTTGTCTGTGATGTCATTAAACAACTGAACATGACGTCACACTTGCTTACAGTGTTTTACTTCACAAATGTACATGAATAAAATGGATGAAAAAAAAGTTATTACACTCGAGCAAGTGTGTGACTTGAGTTATATGAAACTCGTGCAAAATAAGTAAGTAATCTTGCTATACAAAATTTCACACTCGTGTCGTGTGTCATATGAACACTTGCTCATGTAATAATCTCTATATCTTAAGACATGCATCACTTCAGGATTTCTTTTCACAGTAAGTTAACACACCATATTTATGATATAACTCATTTCGTATAAGTCGTATGACACACTTGTTCATGTAATAATCTCTATTTATTACTCGCCCGCGGAAGATACTGCAGTGTAATATTTTTACTGCAATATTACACTAGTGTAAGACGTATGACATCATAATGGTTACAGTTATGACGTCACAATGCTAATACCTCTGTCACAATGGTATTGGACCTTGCTTGACTCGTAGAAAGCTGAGAGTCATCACACTTCGTGGGCAGTTTCTATCAGTTTATGTTGGAGAGTAATAAACAGAATGCTAAGCTCACTTCCGTGAAATACCATTTTTATAAAACTCGTTTTTTACGCTCGTTACCAAATCATTAACTCGCTTAATATAAATGGTATTACTGCTTGTTAAATGCCATTTCAAACACCCTATTCTAATGGCAATAAAGGAGACATGCCATCTGAAGCAGACCAAGCCGGTAAATGTTCCAGTTAAGTATTTTTTCCTGTTATGCTTTCCAAGCATTTAGAATTTGAGTAGAGTTTCTTTTCAGAAGGGAACTCCTTTAGGGAATCATTAGCTTGTCTAGTATTTTTTTGTTTGTTTGCTTGTTGTTAAATGCTGCACCAGTGTGTGAAATTTACGCTGGTCCTGTGGCCCCTGGCTAATAAAAAATCATCAGGACCACTAACTGGTGGCCAGTGAATTTTGTATTTGAAGTGAAGTACAGACAGGACCGCTAATTATTGTCCACCTACTGGCTCTGTGGTTTTGAAAGGTTTCTTTCCCTGCTGCACTGAACTATTTTCCAGCTATATGATATAGGTTTGTAAATAATCAAGTCTGGATCAGACACTCTATAGTCTGTTTGGTGTGAAAACATACTGATGAATTTCACTTTAAACAAAAAAGTAAATCAAATAAAGTGAAATTCAGATTGAGAATCAATAATCTAAACTTAAAGTGAAATTCATCGGTACGTTTTCACTGCAAACAGACTATAGTGATAGATATCATGAGCATGTGGGATATCTGTGTGCAAATCATGTAGTGACTTGTGACCCTGATCCTCATGTGCAAATCTGAATGTGTATAAACAAAAATGTAATTGTAAGTAAAATTGATATTTTATACTTATCCTGACTCATGATCTTTGCTTATCTCCCTTTCCCTTTCGAATGGTAGTGGAACACTTGAATCCCTTGAAGTTCCCGAAGCGGACGTACAATATTCACCCACGAGTTACCTCTCTTTGCCCTTTCCCGCGCAAACCAGTCATGTGACGCGCCTTACTTGTCACTCTATCCTGATTTTCTGCCCATGCACTTGGATCTGCTGTGAAATCTCAAGTGTCTCAACGGGGAGGCTCGGAGGGCTTGTTTGTCATGAGTCAGGATAAGTATAAAATATCAATTTTACTTAAAAAATTACATATTTTTCCTTATCCTGACTCATGGTCTTTGCTTATAGAATACGTCGGAGTTGGTGGTGGGTCAAGCAACTGGATTCAACAGCTGTCCTTAGATACGTCCTGTATCCCCCCATGGGAACTGCAAACGGCATATCCGTGGTCCTATTCTTCCAACTTATGCGAGGTAACTCGGGGACCACTCCTTGTCTTACTTCAATCTCAGACAAGTTGAATCATATTGATTCGTGTGGTTATAGATAAACTAGTATTCTCCTGTACTAGATATCTTATAACAACCCATGGATTATGATAAGGTCTTTATCATAAATGAGTTGCGATCCCTTTATGTGCAGGTAAGGTTATTACCCGCACAGGATCTTAATCACTCATGCTAGTCTGTCCTAGACTGTGCGCATGGACTTTCAAACTAATACTTTTCCTAGTAAAAGTCATCTACAAGTCAACGTGATAAAGGGTGAGATTTCAACTCAGCGCCTTTGAGGAACCGTTAGTAGCTGTGCTACAACGAGACACCCAAATTGGTGAATGCCTGAGACGTCTTCAGTGGGTATGTCTCGGAGGTAGTGGTTGGCAAACACCGTGTCCGACTTCCAGAAGCAGCCCTCCATTATTTTGCCTCCTTGTCTTAGTCCTTTGAAGATATTGTCTTAGTCCTTTGAAGATATATCTTCAGAGCTCTGACTGGACACAAGGATAAATCTTCTACATCCTCTGGTCCGAGGATTGTAGATAGCGCTGGTGCATGGAACTGTCTATCTGGTTGGCCAGGTAGTTGGTTCTTGGCGCTGAAGTCCCATCTAAGTCTTAGATGTACTGCCTCATTTCGCCCTGCGTCGAATCTAGTTCGGCTGAAGTCCAGCGCATGTATCTCTGATATTCTTGCTGCTATGGCTAACGCTAGCAGGAACAAAGTCTTTTGTGTCAGCAACTCGAAGGTTGTTGATGTAAAGGTTCGTAGGCATCACTGGTGAGATAACGTAGAGTGACGTTCAGGTCCCAGGCCGGAGCTCTAAACTTCCTCTGCTGGTTCTAGTAGCTCTGGAACTTTTGTCAGTTTGATGCCTGTTATCATGGTGATCACTGAACTGATGGCAGCGAGGTATGTAGATAATGTCGAACCTTTAAGGTGTTTCGTCTGTCTCAGATGACACAGGTATTTCAGCCACTTGAGGATGAGCTGTTTTTATCGCAGTGAAGTTCTTCCGCCTTGCATAAGGTTCAAACTTCAGCCACTTGTCGTCGTATAGACTGCGGGTTGATCTGCGTAGCACAAGCGATACTGCTTGGCTGCTCTGGCTGAGTATCCTCTCTTCGTCAAGCATGCTTTGATACGGTCCATACGTGTAACTGGAACACTGCTGGGTTCCCATGTGCTCGCTTGGTGTGCGGATGTACTAGGAGGTTCGGTCACTCTGGTAGTCCATCAGAGTAGATACCTCTTGATGTTGTCTGGTAGCGAGATGGGATCGACGCTGTCTAGATGTTTTGTCAGGAATCGCTGCAACGGCTTCAGTTGTAATCTTCCTGTACGGGTTAAGTTTTGTGCTGAGGTTAGTAGACCCAGTAGAACTTGCCATGATCATAGTGTAAATGGAGAGATGACTGCTTGTGGTATCATGGCTTGTATCTTAACCCAACGATCTTCTGGGATGACAATACGGTTCTCTGTTGTGATGATTCCCAGCAATAGAAGATCTTGTTGATTCTAACTGCAACTTCATCAGGTTAATTAGCCATCCTAGTTGCGTGAGCAACTTCATTGTGAGGTTCAGCTGCTGTTAAAGTTGATTGACACTCTGAAGAAAACTGCATGCCGTCGTCCAGATACCCGACACTGCATAGACCTCGATGTTATCGATCGGTGCCGATAGTCTTGATTATTCGTATGAATAATAATCATAAAGCTGACAATATTCCAAACCGTAGGATCTTCCTTCGGAAGTGCTAACCTCTGATTGCAGTCATGGTACATCATTCTTCCCCTCTATACAGAGGCGATCTGTGCTGATCAGCACTTCGAAGCGTTGTCTATTTATAGCACAGCTGGGTGCAGTGTAGCCTTGCCGGGGACAGGCACTCATGCTGACTTTCCTCAGCAACAACTTGCAAAATAAATCTTGTTTATGCTGCTGTGAAGGGTAGACACCTATCAGATTCCCCCGATGATAACAGGCCGTAGTTGTATACTGTTTACATGGCTGTCGATGAAGTAATCCCCCGTACCACGTCTTTGTTTACAAGTCAGTAAACTTTCTGCTGCTTGCTCTGTCAGTGGGAGGCATCGTCTAACGTGGACCAATCAGCTTCCGAGCGTGACGTCACCAGTCTTGGTTGAGTAAAAGCGTGCGTACCTCTATGCCGTTCATATAGACCTCTTGAATAAGGGTTGATCCAGGCGTAAATTCTTGTTCAGTGAAATAAATCACCTCTTCCCACTGTAGATAATATAAGCCAGCATGACGAAGTAGGTTGTCGAGACTTATATCTGCAAAACTTGATATATCAGCTTGATAGGTGATATCATCTTGAAGTCACAGTCATCAGCATATATGCAGTACGTCTCAGATGGGTTGGAGTGAGTGAGTGAACGACAATTTCCGCAGGCCATCAGCTACCCGGAATATATCTCCGCATCCGTGTAGATGAAGGGATTCTTTCATCAAGTAGGTTGTCGTTTAAACCTGAACCTATATAGGTGTAAGGTTCATACCGGTTGTAGAGTTGAGCAGGCTGCAAACTGTAGAGATCGCACATGTTGTAGATCTTTTTGTTGAGTTGACATAAACATTCTGCCTGTTGACCTAAGGTTCTTAAACCTTGGATTCGCGAACCCTGTAGATGTCTTGTAGATCTGAGAGTTTGCGAACCTTGTAGATGTCTGCTTGCTGATATCTGCCTGTAGATCTGAGAGTTTGCGAACCCTGCAGATGTCTGCGTTTGTGCGTTTGTTTGTCATCATGCATCTGATAGGAGAGGATGTCGTCTGTATCTTTAGATGGTGACTGCAGATTCAGGCCGTTAGCTATCCAGCTGTAATCTCTCGATCAGGAAACACAAGGTCTTCTTGTTGCTCCTGTAGTGGTTGTTGAATAGAGCTGATACTGCGCTGTTCATCTGCCTGTGAATCTGCATTCCCTCGCGTGCTGTCCTTTCGCGAACCCTTCTCAGATGATTCCCCTCTTTGCGCACCTTTATCTTGGGAAAGATGAGTTAGCGAACCTCTAGATGACTCATCATCCTTTCGTGAACCCTTGTAATGAGAGCTGTACATTCGCGAACCCTTGTAAGGAGAGCTGTGCCTTCGCGAACCTTCTACTGCCGATTCATTACTTCCTGACTTCGAATAATGAGAGCTGTGCTTTCGCGAACGTCTGCTCTGCAGGCTGCCACTGTAGGATGATCTATGCTCATGCGATGCTCAGTGGTGTGAGCTTTGCGAACCTCTATGATGTGGTGAATAGCTTCGCGAACGTCTGTGAGATCTAGATCTGAAGCGACTTGAAGATGATGCCGTCCAAACTCGTTGCTCTGCTGCGTCTGGAGTTTGACGATCTCTCTGCAGATGACTGCGGGTTCGCAGAAGTAGATTGTTGAGTGAATGTTCGCAGAGGTGTACGTTCGCGAACGTTATCTCTCACTGCCAATGTCTGCGTAGAGGGTTGACTGAGGCCTGTATAGCTAAGAGGCTTAGCCGAGCTTGTGCTTCTTCCAAGAACCTCCGCTCTATCATGGACATCATCTGGTTGGTGAACTGCGTCATAAACTCGTCAGGGTCGAAGTTCTAGGTTGTCTGAAGACGTAGCGTTCACAAACGCTGAAGTCTTGAGTACCCCTGGTTCACTGCGTTGAGATGCTGGAGTTAGATCATCAGATATCTAGCAAGTTATGATCGTTGCAGGTGAAGATCTAGTCATAGATGTTGAAGAAATCATCACCCTCATCGGTACTTCAGTTAGAAGTATCGGCGGATCATCGAAGACGTCTATCTCGTCAAGGGGTAGAATGTCTTCGCTGAAAGATCTATGCTGGGATGACTTCTTAGGATGCACCGACTTCCCCATAGCTGCAGTTGCCTTCATCTGCGAGGTAGTCGTCTTCTTTTTAGCGCCTGTAAAGCTGACTGCCCCTGTAACAAACTCCAAAATTATGCATCTCAATTGCAACAGACAAACTCACGACATGCAGGTTCATCTCTGCCTTCGCGAACGTCTCTTGGATCGGCTAGGCGTAGAGGCAGGCTTACTTAGAGGTTCGCGAACGTGGACTGCATATCATCTTGTAGTATGATGGAGTCGTCCGACTGTGGAGCCCTTCGCGGAAGAGTGTGTTCATCAATGTCAACTGCAGTTGTAGCTCTGATGGGTGTAGATTCGTGCAGGCCAGTAGTTTGCGCACGATGTCGGCAGACTGTGTCTTCCTTGATTCTTGCTGGAATCTCTGCTCCATCATAGCCATCATCTTTTCTTAGCCCCCTTTGCCGCAGACTGGCTCTGTAATGTACTAGGCAACATATCACTATTATGAACATCAGCAGCAAGCAACATACAGTTTTTGGCCTGATCTCCAGATTTATCATATGTGACTAGAGATGTCTTTTTCACCCGATCCATGGCACGTCTATAAACATAAGACAGATATTGATTAAATTGCAATTCAGTTAAATCAACACAGTAGCTACAACGCAAGGTGGATGAACATGGATCTGTACACGATGGACATTGGGGGTGAGGATCAGCCAGCGACAACCTGTGTTTACACACACAAGAAGATTTCATGAATTGTAAACAAAGTTACAACACGATGAAAACACGACTCAAAGTCAATAAATTTCAACAAATTTGTACAGATACTACATCGTAATTATAAACAAAACCATACACAGCTTAATTTAGAAGAATAGGCCTAAATATAAATGATAGATTGCCATATACAGGACTCAGTGCTCGCTCAACCATCCGCTTGGGCGAAAAGGGAGAGAGTGACAAGTAAGGCGCCTCACATGACTGGTTTGCGAGGGAAAGGGCAAAGGGAGGTAACTCGTGGGTGAGTATTGTACGCTCCGCCTCGGGAACTTAAAGGGATTCAAGTGTTCCACTACCATTCGAAAGGGAAAGGGAGATAAGCAAAAATCATGAGTCAGGATAAGGAAAAATACTGATTTACCTTGCAGCGTATTATCCTGACTATATTCTAGTAGGAAGCCTTTCCCTGAACCAAGCTTATTTGTTTTGAAGACAACTGTCACATCTGGTCCCTTGCTGAGGAACTCTGTAGTGTCCTTGTTGCATAAGATAACCGCAGGAGACATCTGGGAAACACCTCCTAAAACGACATTTGAGGAAGTCATTAATGGATTCTCAAAGACCTAATGTAATGCTGCGTTTACACTAGGCCACAATTAGGCTACGATTCAGATTTTTAAAAAAAATTGTAACTCATCTTACAGAGCATGAGAGATCCCAGATCCAAATCGTGGTGATCGCAAGAGATCTCCATGATCGTGAGGCATCTTGATAAACGTGGCAAAATATTAAACATGCCGATAGGTTTAGCTATCGTTTCAGAATGCGGTACTGCATAGTAGTGTGTGGGCATCGGATCAAATGGTATAAGAGCGTGAGAAAGTGTGAAAAAGCGCAATGGAACATTTCGGGATGATCGTAATACATTGGAATAACGAGTATCAGATGATAGTTCCCACCGTCTTATGATTCTACCAAGATCCGTTATGATCTATTACAATTCTATTAAGATCTCCTGCTCTGTGTCATATTGTACACAATCTATCTCGATCTAATACGATTCAATGCATTTCTGTGCATTTCACACGTTGTACTATGGATAACTTCCACTATGGATCTGTCACAGTCTACTACGCTCCCTTGTGCTGCGACTCGTTCTGGTGCGTTTGGTATGCTTTTCTATAAATTGTGTCATGCTGCCACACAAAATTCATTGTGATCCATCTGCAAGCCCCATTACACTATTTTATCGTCATTTTCATTGTAGAATATAGGAGATGGGACCGAAAATGGGCAAGGGCAAAAGAAAAGGGGTCCAAGGTAACTTATGCTGTCTGAGAATCGTGTTTAATCGCCCTTCTTTGTCAAAATAGAAGGTAACAAAAAGTAGCAGATCGATATAAATGTCTCAAAAAGTACGAAATCGCAACAGATCATATACTGAAATCGTGATGGTTGAAAAACGTCTCTACAGATCGTCAAATATTCGCAACAGATCTTCATTGAAGCGTACCTGATTGGAAATCCAATCGTAAGAATGCATAAAAGATCTTATCAGAGTGCATAAAATCATAAAAGTGTGTCTACAAAGGGAAAACTATACAAAATGTTCCACGATCATGAAGATATACTACAATATTTGGTTCGCATCGGATCGGCATAATGTGGCCTAGTGTAAACGCAGCATAACATGTGACCTACCTTGTCAGTTCCCTTTCCTTCACATGCCACTAGTGTTATAACTACCACTTACTTGTAAGTACAGCCAAACATGACATGACCAGACTTCAAGTTATTGGATATTTCAGTTATTTGACACAACTAAAGAGTGAGTGATTGATTGAGTGAGTGAGTGAGTTTTACACGACTTTTAGCAATAATCCAGTAATATTACGAGGGGGACACCAGAAATGGGCTTCTGTGGGGAATCAAACCCAGGTCTTCGACATGATGAGCGAACGCTTTGACCACAAGGCTACCCCACTGCCCCAAGTGATTAATGAAGAAAGAATATGAAAGGGCCAAATTTTACACGTGTCCCTTACAAATGAGCATTTCGGAATTAAATGCAATGTTTTTGCTTTTACCTGATGCTACACAGTGCTTCAGCTTTCCTACCCAAAACCCCAAGTTAACTATCTTGGATAGTGCAACCTCATATTCTTCACTGTATGCGACAGTGGCGACAAAACAGGAAGTCAGTAGACGAAGTCTGGGCAGGGCTTCAAGTGCAGTGTCAGGCAAGTATTAAAACACTGCATTGATTCTAAAATGCTCATGTTTTACCTTACTTGACGCTACACAGCGCGCTTTATTTGGCCGACATGCTTATGGAATAAGCGCCAGTTCCGCTGAAGAAACACTACATACACATCAGGTAAGGATTCCTCCAGTGACTTTCCGGTAGCGGCCACTCTCACATCAGAACTGGGAGATACGATGCCAGTTGAGCAGAGCTGAGCTGAGTGGTGAAGTGCAAGTCCATGTGCCCTAGCCGCCTATCCATCATGGGAATCGAAGCGCTGGGTCAGGACATCCCCACAAGAAAATGCACATCCAGAACATTAGGAACTGCGCACCAAAACAAAATCTCAGTGTGCACCTGTGTCCCAGGGCACCAAGGTAAATAAGGCTTAAAAATAGTAATTTTTGAGCCAAAGGCATTAAATCACGAAGACACTGACAGATTTAGCAATAGTTCAAATAACCAAAAGGGAAGAAGGGCTACGAGACGCACCAAAGATGAGACAAATACAAACATGCGCACCATGGTGTGAACATATGTGAAGTTGCGAGTTTGATATAAAGTTACAGTGTCCTCCCAAAACTTCCACAGCTTATAACAAAAACTGTGTTTCTGGTTGACTGCACACACTTTAGCATACTGATTACCTCAGTCTGTAATGGTTTAATTCATTACTCAGTAATGAATACAAACAATTAACAAGAAAATGTTGCCCCCGCTGCTGATTGAAGAGTTCCCTACACTGAGTGTGCTCTGGTGATTAATTTCTACTAAATATATATCATGGTTGATCATAAAATAAATATATCCAAAGTGTCCAAGGTAAATACTTATTTGTAAATGCATGTCACAATAAACTTACCACATTACAATTAAACCTATATCATGAAGGTTCATGGTACAAGGGTAAATAAACTAGCAATAGCAATATCACTGTGGAGGCAAGTGAAAGCAATAGATTGCTGTAGATGGTAAAGTGGTAAGTCCTTCATTTTAGACAAAGTCTCGAAAATTGTATACATGAATGGAACCATAAATAAATTATCACACATTCAGGGTCCCACTGAAGTACTTGAAAACACAAAAAACAATGTGTTGAGGGGTTTGATAACACAACCTATTATCATATAAAGATCAATAATTGAACAAAATTCACGAACAAGTTAAATAAACATCAATTCAACTATGAGATGCACACCTTTCGAGTCCCAATGAAACACATGTATAAGCTTAATCAATTCTGTTGAGCAGTTTTTGTGGAGAAGTGGAATAGACTTAATCCCCTATTTCACTATCATCAGAGAGAAATTCAACAAAACATTTCTAAGTTCAAATGTCTCTAAACATACAAAAAACCATAAAATACAAAAACAAAATATGAGGTGCACACCTTTAGAGTCTCTATAAAAGACATGTAAGCTAAATGAGTTTTGTGCAGTGGTTTTTTGAGGAGAAGTGGATAAAGTACAACCCCCGTTGTATGGGACGAACAGGATGAATAGAACCAAATTCAACTAAGTTCAAACATCTGTAGAAGTGACAAAATTAAGAAATTGGATGAACAAGGTATGAGATGCACACCTTTAAACTCCCAATGAAACACATGTAGAAGCTCAATCAATTCTGTTTAGCAGCTTTTCTGGAGAAGTGGATAGACTTCATCCCCTATAACACTATATTCAGAGAGAAATTCAACAAAATTTATGTAAGCTCAAACAGTATTAAAATTGGAAAAATAAATCAATACAAAATCAAAATATGAGATGCACTCCTTTAGAGTCCCTATAAAGCACATGTGTAATCTAAATGAATTCCATAAAGTAGTTTTTGAGGAGAAGTGGATAATGTACAACCCCCTGTTGGATGGAGCGAACAGGCTAAATAGAACAAAATTCAACTAAGTTCAAACTTCTGTAAAAGTGACAAAATTAAGAAATTGCATAAACAATTATGAAATGTACACATTTAGAGTCCCTACGAAAGACATGTAGCAGTTTGTTCAATTCTGTTGAGCAGTTTTTGTGGAGAAGTGGATAGACTTCATCCCCTATTACACTATCAGAGGTACAGATAAGCTGCGTATCTGCTTAAGTAACGCAAATATGTATGTGAAAACTCAATTCCTATTAAGTATATTGCGAACAAGTACGCTTGAATTATTGTAAATACTCAATAGATGTGATGTTACATGCGTACACACAAAAGTGTCAAATCTTAGCTTGCGTACCAATGGATAGATAAAGAAACTGAGGTATATTGAGAGGTTCTGTTACAGGACATGAACTTGGCAACTTGTAGTCTCTTATTGTTTCTCATATTACAGATCAAATATAAATAACAAACACTAACATTTAAACTTTATTATATTTTAAAAATTAATGAAATGACAAAATACCCAAATGAGTTTGAGTGAGGTGGGTACAATCTATTTGGTTACTCAAAGGAAAATTAGTATACCCAATTGAGATGACCACAAGCGAGTACATAACTCAATGACCCAAAACATTATCTGTAGCTCTACACACTCACGCCGTCGGTTCCAACTGAATTCCTGTGCATCAAATATTCAATAACACCCGGAAATTGGCCAACACATAGAGAATCTCACCCGAGTGTCTTTTGATATCAAATATATCACCACGAGTTGATAAAGTAACAAATATCCGAGGCTTGCCGAGGATATTTTTACTTTTATCAACAAGTGTTGATATATTTGATATCAGAAGACACGAGGGTGAGATTCTATTTATCATAAAAAAATCACTCTTCATTAGTTTTCAACGAAAAATGTACATCTCTGAACACAGTACTGCCATTAGATTTGCAGTGCAGCGATGTCATAGCATTGTGACGTCATCAAGTTCATGACGTCATAGCATTGTCAGGGCATTGTGCAAAATCTACTGTCAAAATGATATCTACGAGGAGATATCGTCTGATCTCACACAAGCGATATCTCCTGTGGAACACAGTTTTGGATGATAAATGATGTTTATCTCCTAAATGTGTACCTGTTTTGAGGCCAATTATCACAGAAGAAATGTTTTAACTGCCTGAATATTGCTGTTACTGTTACATTTCACATTTGTATAAAATTTGGGAAGTTTGAAAAATAAATATCACACTGAAGAGACATATTTTGACTGTAAACTTTAAACCGTATATAGAAAAATACATCAGGGAGCACTTGCACAAAGTGATCTTAGCTCTAGCACTATCTTAAGTCTATGTTAGAGAATGGGGTTAGTAGTATTACTATTTACAGATATACAGAAACAAAGAAGCCGGTTCGTGTGATCCTGGTACAGAGAGGCTGGTTAGGCTCATCAACAGCTCAGGGCCCTTACCCCCTTAGCTCGCAGCCAATCCAGGGAATTGCCCCCCTCTACACACATTCCATGCAGTGAATGGGACTATCCCTGCAATTGTGGAAGTTTGCATATTTGCCATGTTTTTCCTTAAACCTGTCAATCACATTACCATTAAAAGGGACAGAAATTTGGATGGTAATAATAATTCCATTGGTTTTATCAAAAAGGACAGGGTCGGGTTTGTTGGTTTTGATATGTCTGAGTCTGCATACGGAAATATTTCACAGAATTTTACAACTGTCGTTTCCATGAAATACATAATTGCTGTTACTGTTATTATTATCAAAGATGTTTAATTCTTTTAAAAACAAATATGTGCATGCCTGTGTACTGCCTTTAACTCTGGAAAAGAGTTAATATTCTTGTTTGAAGTGGTTCTGATGTTCATAGGCCAATATGAAATAAAGGGCATGTCTTTATTTGGCTTGTCCCGGAATAATCTGAGTTGGTCATGAATGCCCTGTTTATTTCACAGTGTCACTATCTTTAACAATGCTCCCCATTCCCATGTAAAACAAAATGACCACCTTCTTGTGATGTAACCACAGACATGTCCTAGGCTACAACTATTTACCACCCATGAAGATCCGGGTTAGGATTGATCTTCAGCAACCCATGTTTGTCGTAAGAGGTGACTAACGGGATCGAGCGGTCAGGCTTGCTGACTTGGTTGACTCATTGCATCCTAATTACGTAGATCGATGCTCATGCTGTTGATCACTGGAATGTCTGGTCCAGACTCGATTATTTACAGACCGTCGCAATATTGTTGGAATATTGCTGAGTGTGGCATAAAACTAAACACGCTCACTCACTCACAGTTACTTACCATGATATCCTTCGTACAGACTGACATTGTGCAGACACATGGTTGGTACTGTAGTAAGAAGGTCCATGCTAAGCACCGTGACCTTGACCCTGGCATAGAGTTTAACGGCCTGCAGTTCCCACATGCATTGTGTTCCACTGTAATGTGAAATGTGGTACCAGTAAATCACATTGTGTAGCTATGTAGCAAGAAAACATCAGTCATCCTTAACCTTTAGCCTGCTGAATTAATTTCAGCATAAGGCGTAGCAAAGAGGGTGGGTGATTTTTAACAGTCGGTGTGTCATTAAATAAGGGACAACTAGAAAATATTTGGCACATTAATACTAGACAGAAAATATGAACATTATTATCCAAACATATCCTGATAATTTCAAACATACAGAGGTTAATGACAAGGCAAACATAAATAAAGTAAATTTTCCTGAATGTACCTAAATTACTTGATTGACAGTAGAATGCGTTCATATAAGGAACCTGAATAAATCGTTAAATAAACGCAAACTGATTTCAATATTCTTATTTCCGATATTTCATGATTATCTGACTTCAAATTCGTATATTTGTATCTGCAATTATCAGCGCGATGACAAACAAAAATATATTTCTGAAAAAAATAATAATCGAAAACGTTCGACGTAAACAAATCCCATTTTCGAGGTCATCACATATTTTATTCAAAGGGCACTATTATGTTATTCCAACGTGTCATGTCATGAAAATTGCAGAATAAAATATATGATTTATGAATATTCACTAGTCCTAATTTCAAGTGTTTCATTATTTTTCGACACAAATGCACACAAAACCAGTGTTGCACCGTGTTACATGTACGAAAAACAAACATGGCGCGCTTCGTCCAACCCCTACATAAAATATTGCTATTTTGATAAGAACAAAGCTCACAGGACTTACATCTATAAGCCCTGGCGAAAGTTGATGACGTGATGTGCACGAAGTCAACAATGGCCGTTATTTGTGGCTGTGTGCGGAGAAATTTGGTGAACAATCTTTTAGTTCGATGACGTTTCCTTTAACGTACATAAACTAATTGAAGATTATATATTGAGAAAGCTGAGAATTAATGCATTCCGTACATAATTCAAATGACATGTAAATCTGACTTGTTGAATAATTATTGCCAGTTTTATTTTGTGATGTCATTATGCTGCTGTCCTGTCGAATGGGTTCGACAGTAGCATTGAGAGGATTAAGTAAAGACTGCAAATTTAACAGCATGCAAAGTTTCATAAGATACTCAGGTCAGAACTAAATAACAGTCTGTGATACAGACCCTAGCTGAAACAAATATATCCAAGAAAGCCCGTACAAGTCTAGATTATGTGGCAAGTCTAGATTTCCACAGTTTCAGGGTCTGAAAATGAAGAAATTCTCTGGGTCCTTTTTATTATATTTTTTACTATTATTATTTAGGAACTGTATTTTCTGTACAATATTTTAATTTCAGAGACTAGATGTTAGTCTATAAATAACTATATGATGTTCATCCCTGCCTACTCAATACCAGGGCCTAGATTTTCGAAGCGGTCTTAGCTCTAAGATAGTTGTAAGTGTCATACATTAACATTACCTTACGGCTATCTTAGCGCTAAGAGAGCTTCGAAGATCTAGGCCCTGGCATCCAGACTAACATTATTATAGGGTCTCCAGTACCTATTCATGAAGTGAGTGAGTGAGTGAGTTAATATTTAACGTCACATCGGCAATATTTCAGCCATATCGTGACGAGAACATTTGACATTTAAATAGAATATATATACAGATATTATAAAAACCTGCCGACGAAGGACAGTAAAACAACTAGAATATCACAGATATACATGTAAAACTAGTAATTAAATCTAAAACATTTTAACTTTATGGGACAGCACAATATAAAAAATAGGCTATAGATCGCCAACAACTGAAGGTAGATCACCATACTAGGGACCATGGGGACTTACATTACTTTTGCTACCTGCATGGACCCTAGCTGGATTTACACCATCCCTTCAGCTGCTGGCGATTGGAAGAAATGTTAGCCGAAATTAAAAGAACAAGAATACTACGTTTAAAAATCCTGGCAAGTTTAAATTGACTTTGAAAGTTTTGGGACTTACGTACCCTCTCAGGAGGACAATAATTTTACGCTACGTCAACCCCCTTTAAGGGTACAGCCACTAACAATCTCAGTTACTAATAGAAACTACCAACAATATAATATTTAACTATTTACAGATCAGTCCACAAATCTAATTCTTTTAAAAATTCAACTATTATATGATAATTAACATTATAAAAAAGATCCTTCAATGTCATGACATTAAAATACTTATCCCTTGTGATGGAATATTCAACACAGTCAAGCAGGACATGCTTGACCGTGATTCTTTCATCACAAGGGATACAAAACGGAGGATCCTCACCTTTCAATAGGTACTCATGAGTATATCGCGTGTGGCCAATACGACATCGTCGTATGATGACCTCTTCAAATCTGGACTGACAACCCAAGTAGGTCTAACCGATAGTTGGTTTTATTGCATGTAATTTATTGATACCTACTTGGGTGTCCCACTTCTTCTGCATCAGATCACGGATGTATGTTCTAATGCAAGCTTTGTAATCAGAGTAAGGAATAAGAAGTGGTGTCACAGATTTGTTGAGTGCTGCCTTGGCAGAAAGATCGGCCATTGTATTCCCCGAAATGCCAACGTGACTGGGTAACCAACAGAAGACGATGTCGCATTGGCCAGTAGCAAGTGCATTATATAACTCAATAATTTCTATTAAAAGTGGATGTTTAGAGGATAAGTTTTTAATAGCCTGAAGACAAGAAAGAGAGTCTGAAAATATTATATATTGTTTATGTTTGGAATGTCTTTGGATATATTTAAGAGCTGTTAAGATGGCGTTTGCTTCCGCTGTAAAAATAGAACTGTTATCAGGTAGTCTAGAAGATATTGTTCTGGATCCAATGACTGTGGCACATGCCACTGCACCACCGTCCTTGGACCCATCTGTAAATAAGGATTTGTATGTATTATATTTGATTTTTAATTGACTATATTCTTGTTTATATTGTAATTCATTAGTTTCCGATTTCTTAAACTTTGTCAGAGTTAGGTCAACTTCAGGCCTCACCAGTTGCCAAGGAGGAGAAGAAAGAAGACGAGAAGGAGCTATATTTTCCAGCTCAATGCCGGCAGCAGAAAGAAATGGTTTAATTCTTAAACCAAGAGGCGGAACAAGAGAAGGCTTTTTTAGACAATTAGTTTTGGCTTTAGAAAATTTAAAACCGTTTTCAAGACACCATTTATCTATTTTATTTAAACACAACTGCAGTTGCCGTTCAATAGTATGCATATTTTTCCCACGACAAGAAATATTAAAATCATCCACAAAAAGAGATCCATCGATGGAATCATTTAAAACCTTTGATAAACTGTTGATCTTAACACTAAACAAAGTGACGGACAAAATGCTGCCTTGAGGGACACCCTGATCCTGACTGTAATGATCAGACAGGGTAGTCCCCACTCGGACTTGAAATTGTCTGTCTTCTAAAAACTGTGATATAAAAAGGGGTAAACGACCCCTCAAACCAAAATCATGGAGATCTTTCAAAATGCCATACTTCCATGTCGTATCATATGCCTTTTCAAGATCGAAAAAAATCGACACAGCATGTTGTTTATTTAGCATGGAATTTTTGATGAAAGACTCCAATCGCATTACAAAATGATCGATGGTACTACGATTTTTCCGAAACCACATTGAATGTCAGTGATGAGGTTGTTGGTTTCCAGGTACCAAACTAGACGATTATTAACCATACGTTCCATTGTCTTGCAAACACAGCTAGTTAAAGAAATTGGTCTGTAATTAGGCGGATCAGTATGATCCCGTCCCAGGTTTAGGAATAGGAATGATTATGGCATTGCGCCATGATGGTGGGAAATTACCAGAAGTCCATATACTGTCAAAGATATTCAATAATGTTTCTAAACATGATTCAGGGAGATGGTTAAGAAGCTGATAATGAATATTATATCGACCTGAAGCACTGTCATGAGCTTGCCCAAGGGCAGTATGGAGCTCATGAATGGAAAAGATTTCATTATAATCCTCCCCATTATCGGAATTAAAATTAATTTTCTTTTTTTCTTGCTGGTTTTTAAATTTCTGAAAAGTTGGTGAATAATTGGATGAGGAGGAATGTTTGGCTAAAGTTTCACCTAATTTGTTAGCAATATCAGATTTTTCTGTTAAAAAAGTGTCACCCTCGTTAAGATGGTGCACACTACATTTGGAACCTTCACCTTTTATCTTCCTTACCATATTCCATACCTTAGAAATAGGTGTTCGTGAGTTAATTTTAGAAACATAATTTCGCCATGACTGTCGTTTATTTTGTTTAAATGTACAACGAGCCTTGGCGTTTGAAATTTTAAATTGGTTTAAGTTATGGACTGTTGGGTGCCGACGGAAATATTTTGCTGCCTTTTTCCTAGCTTTTCTAGCTTGTTTGCAGTCAATAGTAAACCATGGCTTACGGATGTGTGGGACCATAGAGGACTTGGGAATACACTATTCATAAAGAACTTGGATGTGTGTTCCCTTAAGAGGGCACTGATCCAGAGCAATTTCCGTGGACTGGTTGTTGCTTTTGTTATTGTTTTTCTCCGGTGAGTACCTTGACGATATCCCAGAATTCATAACTGGTTCGTTACCTCTGCTGCACCACCCTCATGCACGATTGATAGTATAAGTATAGACTGATCAACAAAGATGAAATCTTTTTTACTCAATAATATTTCCATCTTGATTATTTTGATAACAAATGAATTTTTTTTTAAGTTTAACCATCTGCCAGTGGTAAAAAAATGTTAGGACTGTCAATGTACGTCTTTATATTTTGTCTTATAATCCTAATTAGTTTATTATCATATCTGTATGCATTTTGAAAGTTAACAAAATGCACACGATCTGCTTATACTTAGTGAATTTGACTGTAATATCTAGACATCTTATAGATTGCCAATGTGAATCATATTTCACACACACGCCCTAAGTGCGACCTAGTTTATGTTGTCTGTCTCATTACATTTCACGGCAAAAAAATTGATTCTGTTGAATGCTATAACAAATGAATAAAAACAAAATGCAAATACAGTATTAAACTTAAAACAGACTTAAGTTATAGCAACAATATCAGGCTATTACCTTGTTCAGGGAATGTATCCATCAATATCCACATAAAGGAATGAGATGCCATTCATTTGCAGCTGACTAAGAATCCTGTTCCATGTCATGTGTCTTGTAACAGTCTAATATGCGAAAAAATGATCTATTGTTTCAGGTTTTTCACTTTAGAATATAGTCCCATTGGTCACCCAAGATAGCACACCTGGCAACTAATTGCATGATGTCCGCCATTCTTTAAAAAAGTAATTTAGTTAGCCAATAATGAACAATGAATCAATGTATTGGTGGCTAATCAAGGACGTTGTTTTTACACAGACACTTTACGACAGGGTGTATTCAGTATATATTAGTAAATCTAAATGCATAAACACTACCTTTTGACAAATCCGCTGTGCAGGATAAAAGCAATTAATCAATCAGCGTGTTATCAGTTAATCCTTTGATCAATGTTTATTTTGTAACTCAGCTGATACGTCCTCGTGCTGCACTTCCATGCGCATATTACATAAGCTGTAATACATTTGCCACATCAGACCTCAATTTATAATGATGAGTATTTACTCCAGACACAAGAAATGCCAAATGAGAACCTTTGTCGGGTAATCTGAGTGGTGTTACCACTAATTATTCCTATTTATTAACTGACCATCAAGTGAATGATGACAAATAACATGTAGGTTTACCACCAAACAAGGGTTACAGCAAGAGAGTAGTAATCGCTGGATTGCATGCAAGTTTGATTGCCTGAAAAAATACTTATGTGCCGACACTGTTTTGAGAATATGAATGGAACTTCATTGTTGCATAAGAAATACATATAAACATTTTCTTTGTACTTAGTAAAAAACTGTATATACCTATGTACCTAAGTAGAATTTCTGATTTTTTCAGCAATGGCAAAGTGGGGTTGTTTAGTTTACGGATTCAAATATATCAAATGTGTGTTTTTGATATCATAGCATAGGTAATAGACATCATATTATTACATGATTAAATATCGAGGTTAAAAACACAGACATAGGATCAAATTGGATCAGTCACTATACCATCCAAGCATTTGAAAATCTGAAAAAGCCTACACTGCTGGGACACTTTATTACAATAGACAAGAACTACCGGGATATTTTTCAAATAACGGCATCTGATGGGCATCCACCCTTCTTAATGTCCCACTGTTTAGGTTGAAGAAATTCTGCCAAGGTGGACAGTTGCCCAGTCCCCGTGTCTGTTACGGTTGAGGGAGCAGGGGCTGACCAGTTTGCAGCTAGGTTTCGTAATTAGACTGTTGGCTGGAAACATTAATCGCTCTGGATCAGTGCCCCTTTAAGCAGGGGTGGAAATAACCCATTGACCGACGTCCGAGTCCAGTGTTTTTTCTGTCGGGCAAGCAAATTTGTATATCACGCTGTACCGGTGTCCATTTGACTTTCCAATGTTAATTATGTTAAAAGTTTAAAAACTCAACAAGAAAATCGGCCGGTATAGTGGAAAAATTATCAGGGCAAGTGATTTTACATGTGCCACTGTACCAGAGTACACTAGCAGTTTTAAAGTTATTTCCACCCCTGCTTCAAGTATTTACCTGATACAGTACACAACACACATGTCATATCAAACATTCATGCTTCATGCCACTCACATCTTTGAACAACTTCATTAAAAGATATAAAGACATAAAGAAATGCTTTTTATAAGGGAGAGATCGGAAGAAGGGCTGGCTGCTTCACTTGGTTGATGTATGTCAATCACTGCATTGTCTGGTACAGGCCTGACAGCATTGTATCTGGACTGTTGGTGAGTGCAGGCATTAAACAAAAAACTAACAATACAGTTAGTAGCAAGTGACTTACGAAATATTTCCACTACTATACACAGGAGCCAATACTCACGGTCTGTATGAAATAGGGTATCCTGGAGATGACAACGTTCTTGGATCATCGTTGGCTAACAGAATGATGGGGCTAATGCTGCCGTCGCCCTTATTATTACTGAAACATGCTGGTGGCAGAACAAGAAAACAATATTGGTCATTTTTAAACAACTGAATACAGTAGAGTATGTGGCGAGCAACACAGTGGTTACCTGCATGAGCAATAATACATACTATTTGGACACCCAATCAGCCAATTCACAGAGCCACCCATTCCAGTATACAGATATGGAAAATCAAGACCCTTTGATGGCTTCCATCTGTGTTTAATCAGGAACATTATGTCAGTGAGTGAATGAGTTTTATGTTGCCACATTGCAGATGGAAAACCAAATTAATGCAGATTGTATGCATCAGGTTGAATTTTCAGAACTGTGTGAGAGTGTTTGGTTTAACAGCACTTTTACCATTATTCCAACATGAGGAAGAGTACCCATTTGGGAAATCAGACCCAAGACTTTCAGTATGACAAGCAAACACTCTAACCACATGGCTCTGAAGGGGAGCTGAACCATGGATCAGTGGTTGAATCAGGTGTTTATATTAAATGATATAACAGTTTAGGGTGAAAGTGTCCTTTATTACACTATACATGGTGGTAGAGCGAACTGTATTTCTTTTCTAAGATGCCAAATTTAATACTTTCTAAGGATAATTACGATTAATCCAGGGCAGAAAACAAACGACGCTGTCGGTGACGTAAGAATCCTCGCACAGAGCTAACTGGCTCGCTGTTCTATTGATGTGTCTGTCCCCCTACGTTAAGACGATCGTTACCAGAAAGAACAAATGATAAACAGTTTGATGACAGTTTACGTTTGGATTAAATATCTTCTCTAAATTATTTCAATTACATCTGTGATTAACGTAAACCATATGGGGCAATATGAACGTTGCATTTCTACTACCAATGTAAGTTTAGATCAGTACATCCAGATGAAGCTGAGTAGTCAAGCGACACTCCACGATTGCACTGTGGGAATGTAAACATTGCGAACGTTATCGTGTCACTGAAAACTTGTGAGTTGAAATGAGACATTTTAACTGTCGGAAAACATAAACGTAATGAATCCACCAGTGATGTTAGCTGCGTGAAGCAACTGCAAACCAAGAAACGGGATGCACTGGGGTAGTTTACTGAAGGAGGATGTACGAGGCGATGACAACTGACATGCATTGTGACGTCGCTTACATTGTTGGATTACGAGGGCGCAGACTAGAATGGTGCAATGACGCCAATTCATTGTGACGGAATGCAAAAAGTGCACATTATCGTCTGAAAAAGTATTGTCGGCGCCTTTGATCTTTCACCGAAGCATCTTACAATGTAACATATGTTATATTTGGGATTACACTTTCTTAGTAAATTACAGGTCACTATATGACTGAAATATTGCTGAGGTGACGTTAAATCTTAACTCACTCACTAGTAAAGTACAGATTCTATAGTACTGTCGGAAATAGAAAAAAACCTGTTTTTAGGCTGTTACTCTGTATCCCTAAAATTGACACAATTGCAAATAGCATATGTCGAAAGAACCCACTTCGGCCTAACTGGGCGTTCAGTTGGATGCGAAATACGATATCCAGAAAAGCATGTTTACTTGTAAAATCGGGCAAAACTTAGAAAAAATACGAATAGCTGCTGAAAACAATAGATCAGAGTATAGATGGCAATTAGGTCGCTCAGCCAGGTATGACGACAGACCGTCGACTCACCTGGCATGAAATGCGTGTGCTGCCTACAGGCACAAGGGGTCATCTCAAAGATATTTTGTGCTTTTTCATGTGTGTTGACTATGTCTCATTTGTGTGGCTGCTTGTACTAGCCCAGACTGAAGCTGTTTTTTATAGTGCTAGGTCACTCGGATACAATGCCGCAGTGAAGCATAAATACCCCACTCAGACACATCATACTGACTCCAAGCCGACCAGCCCTTGTACCCATTAATGCCGAGCGCCAGGCAGGGACCAACAAGTACCATATTTTAACGACTTTTGGTATGACGCGGTCGGGGATCGAACCCGCGACCTTCCGCTCTCTGGGCAGACTCTCTGTAAGGGACTGTCCATAATTTATGGCTTTTGGGGTGGGGGTGGGGGTGGGGTGGGGTTGAGAGGGTGTGATGATGAATTTAAGGGTGGGGTCACCCATTTTGTTCTGGGTAGGTAGAGGGGAGGGTCATCAAATTTGTACACGTACTAGGGGGTGTCAGCAATTTTGTACATAAAAATATTCAAAAATTATGCTAAGAAAATATGGGAAGGGGGAGTGCAGGTCATTGATTTTGTACATGACATGCGGGGGGTTGGGGGGTGGTGTGTGTACATTACTTTGTACATAAATTTTAGGAGGGATCACTCACATTGTACGTGTTTCTCCATAAAAATCATCATCACCCCCCCTTGCTATAAATTATGAACAGTCCCTAATCACTACACCACGGAGGCGATGTTTGGATTGCAGGAGACCTGTTAGAGATTCGAACTCTTTTAACAATATTCTAGCAATATTGTGATTGGGGGCTCACAAAACATGTTTCTCACATTGCACTCATGGGAAACTGAACCCTGGCCATAGGCGTGACAAGCAAACACTTTTATAACTGGGCTTACTCAATGCCTGATATCGCAGGTCTTAAGATTAACTATGATAAGTCTCAGGTAATATGGATAGGGGCAAGAAAGAATAGTTCAATCAGATACTTACCTTGTTTAAACATACAATGGAATCCAGGGTCCCGTTTCACAAAGCTCTCATAAGCCTAAGATCTCGTAACCTTTCTTTGTAGCATTCGTACCTCCTAAGTTACAGTATAGGAGGTATGAATGCTACCAGGAAAGTTACGAGATCTTAGGCTTACGGCAGCTTTGTTTAACGGGGCCCAGAATATTTCAAGCTCCTTGGTGTAATATTTTCAACAGATTTAAATGTTATGGCTAGAAAGAATTTTGAAAATAAATGATTTGAGATTCAGTTAATTATCAACAGGTGAATGAAAAGAATAATTACACCACTTGGTAGAATTTCTATTATAAAATCATTACTAAGGCCAGACCAATTTTATTTCTTGTTTTACAGATTTTTGTCCTAAAAAGTGTATTTGTCCCAAAAAGTGTATTTGGGGCAAAAAACAATCTAAAAGCATTTTCTTGCACATTTACATTTTTGGCAAACAAAAATATTAAAATTTTATTTCTTGAGCGGGGAAAATAATTGTTGTTTTTTTTTTCTTATTCTTGAAAAAATATGACCGGCGGATCCGTAAAACAAGAAGTAAAATTGATCTTGCTTAATTTCAAAATTGAATTATCTCTTTCTTACGCCCAGGGAACTTCCTGCATGAATTAAATAAAGTACTATGTAAATTTCTCTGGAGTGGTAAACCTGATAAAGTTATCATGGAATAATAATTCATACAAAATTCAGGCAAACTGATAATCCGAGTTCCACGGGAATATCTATCTCCTGTTCGTCCAACGGTGGTGGTAGAGTATTAGGATAATGTCCGTGTAAAAGTTCCAGCTTTTCTGTAAATGACCAGCCCGGCTTAAAATCCTGTGCTGACATGTCCATAGGTTGTACCGTCAACAAGCCTTCTTTCATGGAAAACTCTGTTTGTGAAAAAGGATACACCGATGAACTTCCTGATCATCAGACACTAATGGAATTAAGGGCGGATTGTCCGTGTCAAAATAACCTTGCGGGTCTGTAGCTGTGTCCTCTGAACCGCTAGGCCCATGCAAATCAGACTGCTGGGTTGATACACCATTATCCATAGCAGCCGACCCAGTGGCCTGGCTTGAGCCGGGGCGGGAATCACATGCCATCTGAGCCGAGTCAGACCCGTGAAACCCTAGCCGCCCAGTCTCCCCGTGAGAGAAGGTAGCAGGCTTTATGCAACAGGGAGCAACCACGGATTACTGGCTCCCGGGGACAAAGGACGCGGGGCGTGTGGCCTGAGCCACGGTCACCCCGGACCCGGAGCCGGCTGGGCCGACTCCATCCCCGTCGCTTGAAACCCTAGGCTTCTCCCCAAGGGGACCGGCCTCCTACGTACACCAGGGCGTGATAACCACTACACCACGGCTTTCCCAGCCATTGCACCCCTGGTTTCCGTAGGAAGGGACTTTGGCTCCCGGCTCTTGCCATCGACCACCAAGCCCCTACGGCTGTCTGCCGTCTTGCCGGGTAATACAAGATCTTCCAAATGTCAGGTGATCAAATTTTTCGTCATTCCTCATCTCCATATCCGGGTACAGATTTATCCATGGCCGCCTGGATATCGGATTTAACTCCCGCCAAAAGTTGAGAACGCAGCTATATCCAACTGGGGAGAGGTTTTTGATTTAGATCTAGAACAAGACTTCGGTTCAGATTTTATAGATAAAGGCGGAGATCCCCGAACTTTCCTCGACTTAGAGAATTCTGATGACGATGAATGTTTACGCTTCCTAATGAAGGAACGAGATTTGTGCATCAACAACCAATCTTCTTTCGACATTTCCTGACACAATAAGCTTCGATCCGATATTGAGCAAGGTAAGCCTTTATAACAGGAAGCACAGGGAGAGTGGGGATCAACGTCCACCATGAATTTCTGACATTGTAAACAATTGCTCTGTGCCATACTTGTCAATCAAAAAGGGCGGGAAAAGTTCAGTTCCTAAATACGTTGGAAATATATATAATATAAATGCAAAACAGCAATGCGATTGAACATGAAATGGAATGCGATTTGTAACTGACCTATATATGAAGAATTGAAGACTTGATTTGAAATGAAAATTTCACTCGATTCTCTGCACGTCATGCTTGTGGACCATACAGAAAACTTATATGAAGGGTTCTAGGAGAACAATACAGTGATGTCAGGATCAAGGGAGATAACTCAGGGGTAGATTAGGTATACCACTAGGAATAGCTATGACTTACTGTTAAAATTTCTTTTGATTTTCTGTATGTATTCTGTGAATCCACAGGCATAAGGCTACCATAACCCAGAGGGAATGTTTACGTTATAATTTTCTATATTTATGTATTCCTAATATCTGAATCCTAATATAT